TGATGGCAGGATGCTGGACCTGGCAGACCTGAGAGAGGCGTTTTTCCAGGCCAGGCAACACCCAGCAGTCGACACCAAAACACGTTGTGCAAAGTCAATTCCACATGCAATGCGGCAGCAGACAGCCCTCCAAAGCTTGGAAGCGCCCAGTTACCATGCAAGGTCGGATCAGAAGGTCATCCTGTGTGAGACTCTCTACCTATTCCCCCCCCCCCGAGATGGTCAGAGGAAAGTGGGTCAGCCCAGGCAGGTCCTCCTCTGGTCTGGCCACTTTCCTGCAGGGCCCTCCAGGTGTTTCCGGGACGTACATCAGCTGCCCTCTCCTGCTCTTGTGCTCCAAGGCTGCCTCTTCCTCCTCTCCCATTGTCCATGGAGAGTCTTCGTCCTCCAGGTCATGGTTGTCCCAAAGGTGCTTTTTCAAAAGGCAACTGGACGTTCTTGATTTTTCCCTTGAAAACGTTTTGCTTCTCATCCAAGAAGCTTCTTCATTTCTGGACATGTTCAGTTCTTCAGAACTGAAGAAGCTTCTAGGATGAGAAGTGAAATGTTTTCAAGGGAAAAAACCAAGAAAGTCCAGTTGCCTTTTGGAAAAGCCCCTTCATCTCCCACCGACCCTTTGGGCTTCGTATCCAGGGAAGGGGAGAGACGGGGCCTTGAGGCCTCTTAGAAGGGGGGGGTGCTGGGACATGCGATTCACTGTATGACCCCTGGGCTCTGCCTGCCTCTCTCCCCCCCCCCACAGGCAGCGCTGTCCCAGGCGCTTGGAGAGCAAGGAGTGGTGAAGAAGGCGCGCCACCTTTATATGGTGGGCCAGACCCGTGTCCACGTGGATCAGGTGGAAGGACTGGGTGACTTTGTGGAGCTGGAGGTGAGGAGCAGCGCTTGGAGGCCTTTCCGTTCCATGAGCAACGGGGGCTTCTCTAGTGGGGTTTGGAACAGTTGATCCACTTTATAATGACCTGGGGAGACCCCACGTGGAATACTGCATCTGTAAATGGGGGATGGGGGTGGGGGTGTTTATAGGTATGAGATGGGATGTGGGAAAAAGAGGTTGTTTTAAGAGACGGTGCTGTTACTAAGATGGTTTATAGTTGTGTTGAAGAGAGAAATGATTTCTCATTAGGCTTGTTCCCCATCCCTGGGGTCCTCAGACTCTGTTTGGACAACCTTCGGTTAAAAATGTTCTTGGAGATCATTGAACTGAAGGTGCACCTAGCTGACCCCCAAGATCCCTGACTCTGGGGCTGCAGTAGCCCAGCACCTCCAGCTGTGGGGAGGGTGTGTGTGTGTGCCTCCCTGCCCCTGCCTGCTCCCAGGGCTGGCATGGAAGTTTCCTGGCTTGTTCCTCCCTTGTCCCCAAGGGCAGGAGGCAGCAGGTAAACACACTTCGCCAGGTGGCCACGTGATCTCCCAGACAGTCAAACTGCGCCTGGAGGTGATAAACAGATCCAGAGAAAAGAGCCGTGAAGGAAAGAGGTTGAGGCTTTCCTGCACAGAACGGGCGCTCCATCTCTCTCTCTCGGGAAGAGCCGAAAGGAAGCCAACGGAGCTAAAGAACTGAAGAAGAGGAAGAGGAAGAAGAAGTCGGGGCCGGCAAGCCAATTTTTATCAGCTGAGGAAAAGCAGGTTTTGGCAGGGGTGGAAGCCCCTTGGAGACCCCTGCAGGCGGGCGATGGAGAAAGACCACCAGGCGCTGAATTCCCAAGGGATGAAGATGCCCCAAGCCCAGGGTCCTGCTAGCCACAAGCGACGGTTGGCCAGGTTTTATCTGAATTTGCCTTGATTAGCTTAACGAAGGGGAACCCCGTTATTGCCACACCTGCAACATACCACAGAGAGGGACTTGGCTACTGACAGGAAGTCAGAGGAGTGAGTTGGAATCCTAAAGGGTTTTTTTTTCCTGCTTTTGCTGAATTGGAACCTTTTTGGTTATTGCAGGAGAAAAAGGGGGGCTGGATCTGAAGAGCCTTCTAATTAAGGAGCTTTAGTGTGGTGCTGCTTTCTGTGCTGGGTCAAAGACAGAGAGACACAGGTAGTCCTCGACTTACAATGTTTAAAGTTGCAAAGGAACTGAAAAAAGTGATTTATGAATGTCTTTCACACATACGACCGTTGCAGGATTCCCGTGATCACGTGATCAAAATTGGGATGCTTGACAACCGATTCATATTTATGACGGTTGCCATGTGATCCCCTTTTGCGACCTTCTGAGAAGCAAAATCAGTGAGGAAGCCAGATTCACTTAACAACCGTGTTACTGACTTAACTACGGTGATTAACAACCAAAAGGAAGTTCATAAAACAGGGCAAAATTGACTTAACAAATGTTTCACTTAGCAATAGAAATTTGGGGCTCAATTGTGGTCATAATTCGAGGACTACCTGTAGAATAAATGCAGATAGGAAAAACGCCTGGTTGGACCACAGATGACGTTTGTTGAGCTGAAAAGCTGCATCTGCGGAAAAAACATGAGGAGGAGGAGGAGGATGTAGCCATAAAAGCCAGCCTCTCAGACAAACCGACTTTCGCCCATCTCAAGGGTTTCCAATCTTGGCAGCTTTAAGACTTGTGAACTTTTAACTCCCAGAGTTCTGTGAGTTGAAGTCCATAGGTCTTAAAAGTTGCCAAGTTTGGAGACACCCCCACCCCCTGTCCATCTCATATTGTTGGAAATGAATTTGGCTTCACAAGGCAGCTGGTTGCACATTGGGGTTGAGGGGTTTGCCGTGTGTATGAGCCCCGTATCCCATCGTCCACTCTCCCTTCTTGCAGGTGGTATTGGAGGAGCAACAGAGTCTCCAGGAAGGCAGGGAAGTGGCCTGGCAACTGATGAGTGAATTAGGCATAGAGGAGAAAATCTCATCGGTGGGGCTTACCTGGATCTTCTGCTGGCAGGTGGAGAAGCCTTGTGATGGCTGGAGGACGTCTGGGGGGGTGGTCACCTTGCTACGTGGTGGAATAAAATGCCTGGGATGCTGAGGGGAGCAGGAGGTTTTGTACCTGAGGTCCACCTGCAATCATATCAAGTTAAAAGGTGCCTTGGCCCAGAACAGGAATGTCCAACCTTGGCAACTTTAAGACTTATTTAAATATCCACTGTGGTGCATTGGAATATGGAGTGATGGGATAACCCACCTCACAGGGTTGTTGTGGGGAAAATGAGAGGCAGGAGCTTTAGGCATGTTCGCCCCTTGAGTTGACCAGATAGAATAAAAACACAAGTGAAGCAGCAGAGCCAGAGGTACCTGGTGAAACCTTTGGGGGGAATCAGTGGGGTGGACAAAGATGGCACCCAGTTCAACAGTCGCTGACCCCACAGGAGGAAGAGGAGGAGGAGTATCTGGCTGGCTGCATGGAGGATGTACGAGAACACGAAAGAGGAAGCAGGAGTTGCCTCCTCCATACATAACGGCAGTTTTCCAAGTTTCCACAATGTGTTGCATTATCATCTCATGACACCCTAGACAGTTATAAGGAAAGGGGCTGAGCCTGTGGGTCTGCTTGATAGATTGCTTTATCATACAAGTGCATGTATCTTCCACCTGGCAAAATGAACTCTGGCTGGTGAAAAAAATAAAAACACTTAAAAACCATCATTCAAAACTGAGCCCTGTTGCATCAATAAATAAATACATCCATCCATCCATCAGCCAACAACTCTGCCCCCCCCCCCTCATTTGCTGCATGGTTAGTCCTGGGGAGGGCCACCTCCTGCCCTGCCTGTATTCATGGGCATTGGCACAGAGGGTTGTGGGTCTCTGCCTTAGAGGGAAGCTGCAGCTCCTGGGATGCTGGCTGAGATGTTCTCAGAGGTGTGTGTGCCAATTGTGAATCTCTGACCCCAGCCTGGCACACCAGTCCCAATGTGCTGAGTTATCATCCACAGCCAACGTGGCCAGTCTAATTCCAGTCTAATTCAGTGTAGGTCAGTATGGTATGTGCTGCAGAAAAGGGCAAAGCAGAGACCTCCTGGAGCATCAGGTGCCCCCCTTAGAGAAGTTGCCACAACTTTCTGCCCTCCAGATGCCCACTTAGGTATTCAGAGTAGTTGGCCGGGCATTCTGGGCGGCACCAGCCCAGGGGAGGCTCTTTGTCCATGCTTTTCTTCTCTTGGCCCAGGTTTCCTGGGAGGGCAGCATGCGGTGTCTGTCGGTGCATTGCCCTGGATCGGTGGCTTGCCCACAGTGCGGGCAGCCTTAGCAACCGGGAGTCTGGGCTGCCGGGCAGGGCCTAGTGGGGAAGTCCCAGGAGCAGCAGGACCTGCCTTTAATTGGAGCTTCTTTAATTTGCTCCCTGGGGAGGGAGGGAGGGAGGGAGGTCTCCCCCGCCACCCTGCTCAGGCCCGGTTTCTTGGGCTGCTTCTGTGCGAAATCTGGCCCCTCACTAGGCAGATGCCGCCAGGGCCTGTCGTGGCACCGGCTGTCTCCTGCCCAGCCAGCCACCCCCGCGGGGACCTTTCCCCGCTTGCACTGTCAGCAGGAGAACGGACCTGGCAAAGCTTTCTTGCCGGGGCCTCCCTCTGCTGCCGAGACGCCCCAGGCAGCCCCACGACTCCCGCCGCAAGACGGGTGGGCAGCGCCTCCCCAGCGGCCTCTGGCAGCCCCAGGGACAGCGCCTCGCAGCCGCCCTTCAGCACCAACGGCGCGGACAGCTCCTCGCCCCGCAAGCCGCCGGCCTGGGCAGGGCTCCCCGCCGGCCCCCTCCCTCGCCCGCAGCGCCCTCGTTCTGCAACCGGGCGCCCGACGCCGGCATTGGGCGCCCGCTTTGTTTTGGCGGCGGGGTGGGGGCGCCGGGAGGGGCCGGACATTCCTGCGGCCGCCGCCTCCCCCGACCCGGCAGGCTGGAGGTGTCGCGCCGCGCATCCGCAGTGGGGAGGGGGCGCTGTGGAGCCTCGCTCCGCCTCGCCCCTCCTCCCCCTCCCCCTCGCCGCCTCCCGCCGAGTCGCGCAGCGCCGGAGCACGACGGGCTGGTGGGGATTGGCCGCTCCCCCCCCCCCCGCCGCAGCCAGGGCAGGCGCAGAGCCCCCCGCGCTGTTTACCCGGGCCCGGCCGGAGGAAGCGCCAGCGCGCCATGGCAGCTGCGGCTCTTGCCCGCCTCTCCGGGCAGCATCCGCAGTGAAGAGCCGCCGCCGCCCCGACCGCCCCTCGCCTCGCCTCGCCTCTCGCTCGCCTCGGCTCGGCTCGGCTGCGCGGCCCTGCGCGGCGCCCGGAGAAGATGGCGGATCGGGCGGAGATGTTCTCGCTCTCCACCTTCCACTCGCTCTCGCCGCCCAGCTGCAGGTAAGGCGCCGCCCCCGCCGCCCCCGCCCGGCCTCCGCGGAGGGGCTGAGCCCGCAGGCAGCCTCCAAGGCCGGGGGGGGGGGGGGGGGGAGGGGGGGGGGCCGGGCCGACGCGGCTCCGAGAGGCTCCCCGGGGCCCGTCCGCAACCCGGGCGGAGAGGCTGGCCTGGCAGCGGCGGCCGAGGAGGTTCGGCTGGCTGAGCGTTGGGCGGCTCCTCGGAGAAACTGGGCCTGGCACCGCCGGCCTCGCGCACCTGGGCTCCCTCCTCCCGACCGCCAAGGGGGTCGCCGGCCGCTCCCTGCCTGCCCTTCCAAGGGGGCCGCTCCGCGTGAGCCCTCCCCCGGGACCTCCATCCCTGCCTGCCTGCCTGCTTCTCTTGCCGTCGGGGTGGGGGCGGCGGCGGCGGCGGCGCTCGGCCCAGATAAAGAGCGAAGCCGCTTCTCTTCCCGCCTGGAGGCCGCAGCAGCGGAGGCATTTCGCGGCTTTCGCGGTGCCGCTTCGTCGTCGCCCATCCGGCCGCCCTTCCTTTCATGGAGCACTTGCCCCCGACTGGGCGGCTCTGGAGCGGTCTCGGAGAAGCCGGACCCCGCCCGTGGCAGCCCCCTCCGGCTCTGGCTTGGGCGCTCTGTGCTCCGAGCTTGGGCCTGGGGTGGGGGGCGCTTATCCTGACCCTCCTTCGGAGGGGACTAGGCCAAGCGCTGAGCTTGTTGTGGGGAGAGCGCTTTAGGCCTGTGTGGTCCTGAGAGGGAGCCCTGCTGTTGCCCACCCCACCAATAGGCAAACTGGGCAATGGGCGGACCTCCCGCCCCTCCCCCTTCCTCCTTTCTCTCCTTGCCAGGCTCAGTCGGCAAGGAGCCGGAGCTGCCTCTGAGCTGAGCTCTCCCAGATGAGCAGCAGCCCTCTGCCCCTCTTGGAACCCCCAGCCACGGTGGGGCAGAGGGCTGCATAGTGCCAACCCTGCTTTGCGGGGCCCTTCTTCAAAGCCAAAGAGGGGCTCCAAGAGGAGTTTTCCTTGGCAACCCCCAGAGGCACCGGATGAGCCAGAGCTGATCCTGGAGGGCTCCTTCTAGGAACTGAGGTTCTTATTTGGGGAGAAGGATCCCAAGCCCAGCAGGATCTACAGGGAGGGGCAATCCTTGGGAGCCGGAAATTTGTTGTGGGGAGTTGAGTGGGTCTGTTTGGGCAGGGAGGCCCCAAGGGTAGATCCAGCGGCTGCGAGAGCACCAGGAGCCCCTGGCTGGATTGGGCCCGTCAAGACCCCCGTTTTGGTTTCCCCAGATGCACCCTGGAGATGGGGGAGGCCTCTCGCTCTGCTGTGGTTGTTCTGAAGGGCCCTTTGGGGACACCCAGAGACGGGGCTGCAGGGGAACCAGGGTGCCAAGAACCAGGGCACGGCTGGCAGTTGAAGCATTGGGGAGTCAGGTTCAAGCCCACCCCGGCCCCCCAAAATGGCCCCTTTCTCTGCTTACCCGGGTGTGGGATAAAATCAAGGGAGAGCCACCCGCAGTCCACCTTTGGCGTCTGGGGAAAAAAAGGCTGGACATCAATTAAATGGATCCATGGAAAGGGCAGGAATATTGTCAGAGGAATCCTCCTTTGCTCCTTCTGGGATCTCTTCTGAATGAGCAGGGATCCTGCAGATCTGCTTTGGCACAAAGGGAGAGGTGGGGGGAGGGGAATGAGATGAAGGCCAGAATGGAGGGGTCTTTCGCAGATCTTTGGGGCCTGGGCTGAGCCACCCCACTGCATCCCACCCAATATGGAGCCGGCATAGTGCTTCCTGGCCTCCTTAACTCTCAGGGCACTGGCCTTGGCCAGCTGGTGGTTACCAAGCACCTGGAGGAGGGGGTGTATTTTGAAGGCAAGAATACAATTGAGGGGGTGGGTTCCATGATTCTGATGAAAAAGAATTGGGTGCCAAGATGGGAAGAGGTTTGGGTTGTCTTTGGCCTTTTTCCCGGGTGGGGGGCAGTGGAAGGGGCAGAGTAAGGAGAGGAATGGCTCTGGCCAGGACCATCTGTGAGCCCTTTAAGGGAGACTCATGGATGAAGGGGAGATTCTCACGCCCTCTTTCCAGAATCTGGGACAACTGAAAAAACATAACCTGGTAGAGGATCCATAGGTATATATAGGTATATATATACAGTACATAGAGTACACATGGATGGCCCCAGAGCACATTTAAGCAGCGTACTGAAGGGACCCTCAATGGCAGCCTTTCATCCGGCTTCTCTGCTGATGTGCTTGACCCATTAAGGGGGCAGCCAGGAATGCCAAGGACTTTCTCTGTGAGGAGCTGCTCAGGGCCAGGAAGGAGAGAGGCATTGCTAGATCCCTGGTGGATCCCAAATGGATCCCTGCCCTCTGGAACAGCGTCTTGACCCTTCTGCTCTTTAGGAAGACTTTGAAAAACCCAGCTTTTCCAGCAGGGCAAACGGTGAACTTACAAGGATGTTGATATTTTGCATTTTTATCTTCCTGGGTGCTTTGGCTGTTTTATTGCCTTACCTGCTTGTAAGTTGCTATAGTCAGCTGGGTGGCCATCTTTTCAATCAATCAATCAATCAATCAATCAGGGCCACTATATGTTTTATTCAAAGTTATTGGCCACGGGGGCATAACTGGAGGGAGGGTCCTGCTACTTAGTTGCCCCAGGCCATGTCTGAATGTACCCATGGTGAGAAGGGGGTCCTGGACCAGGAGCTCCATGGGTTAGATTCAGAGATGGCCTGGGGCAACAAGGGAGAGGGAGAGAGGCATGGTCAGAAGGAGCCGGAGAGCTTCAGATGCCCATCGCAGCCCCCCCCCCCGGTCCCAGCTCCACAGAAGTCCTGCTCTGACCCTGGGAGGGTCCCCCATGGGGTTTGCCAAAGAGATTTGTGCAGTGGGGTGGATGTACGTGGGCTTCCCTCTGCAGAGGCCATCTCATTCCGCCCATAGAGAGGCATCACCTGCCAAGATGAGATCTGGAGATGCTGGAGCACCTCCACAACTCTCTTGAGTTGGTGAAGCCCGTTTGGTAGAGCACACCCAGGCTTTTTGCTTAGCTATTTATTAAATTTATATGCCATCCATTTCACACCTATGGGGAGCAACCTGGCATCCCCACATCATGTCTTCAGAATTTGGGGGTTTATAACTGGCATGTATTTATGATGAGGGCATTGTCCCTGGAGTTGATGGGGGTTTTTAAGAAGAGATTGGACAGCCATTTGTCCTGAATGTCATCGCGACACACTTAACTAAGTTGTCTTTTGCGTATGCACATTCTGTCGAGCTGCAAAATACTAGAGTTGTCAGACAACTCTAACCTGCTTCACGGACAATGAAGCTGCAGTCAGTATGTCTTTCAGTGACCTGGTTAAACTGCTGTGAGAATGCGGCCACTGGATCCACTGGCTCTGAAAGTTGATCAGCAACCAAGCGCAGAAACCGAGTGTGGCCTGGTCCAGCTTGGTCTCCGCTGAGTTTAAGCAGGACCTGGAGCTACCAGGAGGGGCCATGTCCTCAGCTAGGAGCCCCCACTTGCATGTTGCATGGAAGGAAAAAAGGATAAGGAGTGACATGATAGCAGCCTTCCAGTATTTGAGGGGCTGCCATAATGCGGAGGGAGTCAAGCTATTCTCCAAAGTACCAGAAAACAAGAGAAGAAACAATGGATGGAAACCAACCAAGGAGAGAAGCAACCTAGAACTAAGGAGAAACTTCCTGACAGTGAGGACAATTAACCAGTGGAACAGAAGTTGCCTTCAGAAGTTGTGGCTGCTCCAACACTGGGAGCTTTCAAGAAGGGATTGGACAACCATTTGCCTGGAGTTCTGACACAGGGTCTCCTGCTTGAGCAGGAGGTGGACTAGAAGGCCTCCAGGGTCCCTTCCAACTCTCTTATTCTGTTATTTTAAGTGGCGGCTTCCCTCATCCTCAAGATTGTAAATGGTGAGGTTTTGCTTCAGCAAGTGAGGAGAAGAATGGGTCAGATCCATTCTTTCTTGGGAAGGATTTTGCCTTCTCTCGGGGGTGGGGGGCTCCAGGGGTGTTTCGCCCAGTAAGACCTTGAAAATGCTGCAAGATGGACATGGTGGCATTATTGTCTAATTATTCAGAAGTCAAAACTGAAGGGGGGGAGGGAGAGATGGAGGAATGGGGGAAAGATAAGAATTGTGATTGAAGCAGGAATTGTCGCTTGGGAGTTGGAGGGCCGATGCTTCAGCACATGGTGAGGACCAGGAAATCCGATTTATTGATTTGGGGCCTGCAGGTTTCACTGCATGACCCAAATTTGGGGTCAAATGTGCTGCATGAACCTGGCTTTTCAATCGGTCGTGTCACCCACTTCAGCCAAAGATGCTTTAATGGAACCCTTCCAGGACGAATCTTGCTTCTCTCTCTGTCCCCAAAGCATCAATGAATTACACTGGACAGCTGTGAGGGGCTCTTTCTCAGGCCGGGTGTGTGTGTGCAATTCTGCACAGGAGGGGGCAGAGGTGGGGCTCCCCCTCTTTTAGCTCCTTCGGGAGGTCCCACCAAGGGAAGAGGCCCCCCCTCACTCAGGTGCTGAGGCAAGGGGGGAGGGTAAGTGCTTATTCCTTGTTCAGGCGGGCACAGGTCAAGGTTGCCAACCGGAGGGAACGGGAGCAGCTTTGCCGGGTCAGTTAGTATCCCAAACAAGGCTGGTAATTCCTTGGGCTGCTGAGGGGTGGGGGTGGGGGTCGGGGGGGGGGTTGGGGGGCTTCTACTAGGGGGATTCTTAGCATCTCAGCTCCTGGCCTACCTTTCTACCCAAGGCAGCTCTTTAGAACCTAGGGGGCCATCTGGGGCTTCTGTTCTTTGTGATTGTGGTGATATTCAGACCAGAACACATACATACATACGCCTGCCCTTGGTGTCCCGATCAGGGTCCACTGGCTGACAGAACACAATTAATGTTGCTAGTTACTGGGCAAGATCTGTTTAATTTGCACATACTTTAATCTTGCATTTTATATTTTAAATTTGATGTC